TATATATTAATAATTTAATAAAATATATATTAATAGAATAAATATAAATAAGATATATAATATATTATATTATGATATATATATATTATATATTTATATTTAAATTATTAATATATTTGTATTATATATATTATTAAGAGAAAATTATAAAATACACCCTAAAATGAACTATTTATGCAACTTACCCCCACCCCAATTTTTTCTGATACTTTTTTTCCCCAAACAACCTTTCCTCGCAAAAAATCCCCAAGGTAAAAAGTTCTTAATTTTTGGACAGAAATGCTCTTCCCATACAAACCAAATCAATTCGCGATCTCAAATAGTAGTGCCGGTGCGCAGTATACTACTGCTAGAGTGGAATGTCAAGAAGCACTGCCAGAGTGCGGTGCTACATTGCCGGAGCAAACTGCCGGAGTGTGTGTTTTCAGTGCCGGAGCGCATTCTTAGATTACCGGAGCAGACTGCCAGAGCATGCAGTATCACTACCAGAGCGCAGTTCTCAGTATGCCGGAGCGATGCGGGTTAGACAAAGCACTGCCGGAGCGCACATTGTGACTACCGGAGCGAGCATTAGGACTGCCGGAGTGCAGTCCTCCATTGCCGGAGTCGAAGGCCATGTGAAAAGAAACAGGAGAGAGAAGGCCGTGCGAAAAGAAACGAGGGTATTTTAGTCTTATTTTATGTTACTTTTGGGTTGGGGGGGTTTTTGCGAGGAAAGGTTCTTTGGGGGAAAAAAGTGTGAAAAAATTGGGGTGGGGATAAGTTGCGTAGATAGTCCATTTTAGGGTGTATTTTGTAATTTTTCCTATTATTAATATATTTGTATTATATATAGTATAATAGTAACAATATAAATATAACGAAAAAAGTTTATGTAAGGTTGCAACCTTAAAATGTCAAATTACAGATGCACCTCAAAAATCCGTCGAAAATGTTGTTTTAAAGTTGAAGGACCTTCTAATTGATCATCTCAACATTGAGATGTATGAATATGAAAAAAAAAATAAAGATTTTGAGTCCCAGAACCAATGCATCTTGTAACAAATTATCTAGACCGTCCATTTTCAAGATTTTCATATGTTTATAGGTCTACTTGATTTTAACCATTTTTGGAGTTTAAAATGTTATAATTGGATGTGAAAATAGATTTGAGATAATCCTAAGAATGTTTTACACCAAAATTGCATGTTACGATAAAATTTGGAGGTGCGCCTTAATTGGATTGTTTAAGATTGCAACATTATAGGAACCACTCCCAAATATAAAGATTTTAAGTTCCATCATTTAGATGGAACTTTTTTTCTTAAGCACAGAGTAAGAAAGTTCTAGAGGGGAACTTCTTTATTGTATAAGCTCTGTGTATCAAACACAGAACTTGTACAGTAATGGGGAAGTTCCTTCTTTCTCCCCCTAACTTCTTGTTATCAAACATGCCCTTAGTGTTTCCTAAAACTAGCTCTGGTACCACGTTAGATCATGAGAAACTACACCAAATGCCCTTTAAGAGATCATCAAGTAAGAGATCATCAAGGAAATTCATCCCTCATAAAATATATTTGGGGTACACATATCAAGACAGTTATATTACAAAGGGAAAAGTTTATATAGCGTCGAGGCTCTAAACAATCAAATTTGAGCCTATCTCAAAAATTTCCCTAGAAGAGGTTCTTTTCACGCCCAAATATCCTCAAATTCATCATCTCGACATCAAGATGCATGGACATGAGAAAAAAATGGATTTCAAGTGTTAAAAATTGTGTATTTTGTAATGCATTTTTTGACCATCAATTTTCAAGATTTTCAAGTTTTCATAGATCTATCGATCTACACTATTTTTGAAGCTTTAAACTTTATAAATAAAGATGAAAATATAGTTTAAGGCTATCACAAATATTTTCAGTATTGAAACTACATTTCTCAACACTATTTGAAGGTAGGCCCTAATTTGATTGTTTAGAGCCTAAGCTCTATACAAACTACACCCTATTACAAATAACTAACTATATTAACGATCTTTTCAAGAAAAAAAAATCTTTGCTTTATTAATACAAGAAACCCACACACGGAGCAGGCCCTGATGTAACCAGTGGAAGACATACAAAAGCATGAAATATATGCAACGCAAAGGAAAGAAGGAACATATAAATTTACTACAAAAAAAGATATAAGAAGGCCTTTGTACAGAGCAACATCAAAAACCAACAAACTGACCCACAACCTTTTACAGTACAAGTTACCTTAGCTACTTGATCAGGAACATCCAATTTCCACAGAATTGAGCTTTCAATAGGATTTGAAGTTATTCGAAACGTAAGTCCTTTCTCTGCAAACCTACTGAGCAGATATCCTGCAAGAAGATTGAACCCACTTTAGAGCTGTGAAGCCCATATAAAATTTTCTTCTAAAATATAAAAGAAAAGAAGCCAAATTTTCTTCTAAAATATAAAAGAAAAGAAAGTAAACTAATTACACTTGGAAAAGCATTGGAAAAGCAGAATAGCATAGTAGCATACCTCCTATTGACCCCTTTTCAATGACTTTAGCATCAATTTCAGCGACAATAGATTTTAATGCAAACTTTCCTTTCTCCCACTTTCCCCTTTCCTTCTGAAGCTTTCTGTCCTCTATAGCTTGAGCCTTCAGAGCTTCTTTCTGCAACTTCGTTTGCTGTATCATGATCAGGATCAGTAAACACGAAATAATAATCCTGAACCAGTTGAACTTGAAAAGAGCTATGTCACACCAAGAATCGCTCACCTCCCTCTTGAGTCTTTTCTCTTCCCGCAAACGAAGTTTTTCTTCTTTCAACTGCCTCTTCCTAGCCCCTCGATCATTATCAACCCCCACAATCTTTTTACCTTTCCCTGTTGGCCCTGAAACCAATTCCTTCGTAGCAATTTCTGACTCCCCAAGAGGTCCATCAACCTGCAGCCGCATAATTCAAGCGGTTGACAACTTTACCTACATAGGATTTATGTGTGTATTTTATTGAAGTAAACATCCATAAGTGATATTCACAACAAAGACATGACACATTTTAACTGCAAGAAGGAGAAAATAAAAACATCATATGTTTCAGATTATTAAATAAAATGATATAGAACTTGAGCAGGCACATTGAATACAAGGTACAGATTTTTAAATGGGTACACATCGCAGTAGGAACATTCCAGTAGAAATCAAAAGACCAACACAACTTGGGGTTTTTTCTCGTTTTGGGGATGTACCCAAATCTGCTAGTTTCTTTAACGATGAGCAAATAAAATCTTCATGAGGGATTTAATGCATTTCGATATGATAAGCTTTTTGGACCCATTATAAAGGCCACGAATTTAATGGCCAAGTCAGGAATGAGAAATTTTCTACTTGGCCTCAATTTATTTGAGCTCACTAATTTTTGCTTTCAAGTTGGCTGAGACAATCAGGAACTTAGTGGCTTTTTGGGCATCCAATCATGCTCTATTCAAGATTTCTCCATCCACTGACTTCCTTTGCAATTGGTCCAACTTATTATTTCTAGCAAACCATAGAATCTCAAGGGCCTCGTGGTGGAGACCCCCGATGAGGGAGCAGTGAAGCTTAATTTTGATGGCTGCTCTCTTGGCAACCTTAGCCCCTCAGGTATTGGGGGGCTGTTTCGGTCATGTGACGGTAGTACCTTGCTGGCTTTTTGGCGACCCATCGGGATTGCGGACCCTGCTTTTGCTGAGGCTCTAGTCCTTTTGGAGGGCCTTCGCAAATTTGACCACACCTAGAGTCACAATATAGTGGTGGAAGGTGATGCCAAGAACATTATCCTTTGGGCATCCACCTGCTCGTCATGGCTTTGGCATCTCGACAATATCTTTGACAAGATCCTTCATTTAACAAGCAATCTCAGGATCTCCTGGCGTCATGCCTTCAGAGAAGCAAATTTTGATGCTGATAGATTGGCAAAAGAAGGGGTCTCACTAAATATTTCCTCTTAGGCTCCAGTGCCATTGCGTAGCCTTCTATTCCCTTTCTAGCAGCGGGTTTGGTCTTTTTGGAACCCTCTTCGGCTTTGTATTGAGTGACCATTTCGGTCACCACTTTTTGTAAATTCTAATATAATGCAATTATAGTGAACTTCTCTCAACAAAAAAAATTGCTTCCAAGTTTCAACTTACCAAGTGCCATTTCCCTCACAGCCCTTCTCCTCTCAAGGCCCCTCAACACCTATCATGCTCTCCCCCGGTCTATCTACCCAAAACCCCAAAAAAGGAGCTTTCTCATAAAAAAATCTGGTATCAGACTTGGAAGCCCATTTCCAGCAAAATTTCTCAACAGAAAACCTTGATGCGTACTTCAAACAAGACCCCCACCATTTCAAGCCAAAATCTCAATAAAAACCTTCAGTCCAAGAGAGTACCTTCCAATTTTGGCCACAATTCTCGCTGGAAAACCTCCAAAAGACCAATATTTAAATTGATTATGTCTATGTTTTCTTGTTTCCCGGCTTCCGAAAACCCATAAACCCGAAAACTGCCATTCTTTTCCAGCAAGTCACTCACAAAATTAGTGGCAAAGGGAAAGAGCCTAAGCTGAACAGTTGGTGAAGTAAGTACCGCAACCTTTGTACCAAAACTCGAGCTTTTCCCTAAGAAGGGCCTTAAAGGTTTGGAAATCGACGAAACTCACAAAATCAAGCTATGTTGATTCTAGAGAGAGATTGGGAAGAAGAGAGTCAATATTGACATGGCAGTTTTGACACACAGCAGAGCAAAGATTCAGGCCATCTTTGAGCCACGCAATTATGCAGAAGTGCCAGAGTAGAGGATTACAGGGTTGGCCTTAGGGAATTTCAAATGGGGGCACAGAAATTCTGAGGCCACTCCAGCGAGATCGCAGGCAAAACCAATTTCTGGCTTTGGATTTCTCATTCTTCTTTTGTTGCTACAAAATGCTGAGTAAAATTTGGTTTGATGCTTTGTCCCAGAACTTCCAAAATAGAGGTCTCTCCCATTAGTGAGAGATGGTTCTATGGAAGCAGGGAAGGTTGTCGATGGGGTGTGAAGGAATATAGAAAACAACAGCCAAACCCCCAAGACAAATTCCAATACCATATGTCTTTTGAAAGTAATCTCCAATACGGAAAAACTACAATTCCATTTTTAATCAGAAATTTCAAGATGGCATCATGGCATGATAAGTTTAAAACTTTAAATCCACCAAAAGTGGAGTACCTAGAAAATATTATGATTTCTGTAGGGGTAATGACCCTAGAATGGATTGTCAAAAGTGAAATAATAATTGGAAGACTGACAAACAACCACAGAAACAACTGAGAAAATAACTGACACTCATTAAAGAAAATAAGCAGTTGGATCCATATACTTTTCCATGAACAGTAGAATGGGTTAACACACCATCCTCGCATACACAGGCAAGTATATAAATTACTTGAATACCCTTGTGGGTAAATATAGCCATCTCAGCAATCAGGTTCCCATTGTCTGCATTCCTAACAAGGGTATAGGAAAAAGCTATGACGTTCCCCTTCAAGGTCTGTTTATTTAAGCAAATGACTCATAGGCATGTTTTAAGAATAATTCTGGCTAGGGATCCATTTGTACAAAATGCCAAACTTTAACCGGGCAAATGTTAACCGGATGAAAAGAATCCACTAAAGAACACTTGCATCTCCTGGAAAGATGATAGTAACGAGATGCATGTTAATGCAACGCTGAGGCATTTAAATGTCTCCCCCCGTTCTTGAATCTCATATATATTAAATACCTAACCCATCCAGAAATTGCATATATTATGCCCCAAAAAGTATCCCACATAATAATCCTTCACAAGAACCATGTGGTTGCTTGCAGTATCTTCATGTCAAAGGATATTAAGCACATCAATGACTAGAACCAATCAAATAAGTATCAGGAAATAACAAAAAAAAAGATACAGCAACACTTGCCAATTCCCATGCATCTTGCCAACAAGGGAATCAAAATTTACAAGGCCATTGTACTAGGCACAAACCAAAAAGACCCCTCTATTGTCCACATCTTATGGTAGATATTTTGGCCCAAAATCAGCCAATCCCATAAAGATTTTTATTTCTTTTTAATAGTGAAACTTAAGTTCAATATGGACAGGGAGACTCTCTGGAATCCTGAGAAGATAAGATTCATGAAGAATATGGGAAGCACAATACAGTAATGTTCAAACGATACTCCATCTACAGGTAATAAAATATCAAAAAAAAAAAACTTCGTTTCATATGGACATGGGTAATTGTGTCAATGCTAGACATGGGTACAGGGTTTCAAATTCCTCATGCCATACAAGATGTGGTAACAAGGATATATTACAGAGGGAGAATCCTTATATTTCATTTCACTCTAAGTAACCAAAAATAATCAATATGCCTTAGTAGGCTAAAGTCATACAAACAAACAAATTGTCTCTCGTCAGAAGGAAAAAATCATGTCTCTAGAATGATTTAGTCATTGGTTAGTGAACAAAAAAGAAGAATCTGCAAAGGTATGTGTTTCGATACATATCTGACATGGGTAAGTCACCCAAACAAAAGAATCCATGCAACACAACAAAAACAAAGAATTAACCAACATATTGACATCTTGAAGAATGCAATGGTATCAGAAAAATATCAAGTTTCTCCAAGTGCCTAATTAACCAAAAAAAAGAGCACTTGAAGCCAACGATTCAAAAAGCGGACTGCCCAACGCCTAGGCGGCCACCTAGGCAGTCCGAAAGGCCTGGGCGCATCGCCCAGGCCTAGGCAGCCGCCTAGACGGTACGGAACCCGCCTAGGCAGCCGCCCAGCGCCCAGCCCTAAGCGGCCGCCCAAGGGCGGAAATTGATTTCGGTCGGGGCAATTTTGGCCTTTTGTTTTGCTTTTAAGGGCCAAAATTTAGGGTTTTAGAGTCATTTGAACCCTAAAACTTGTTGGAGCCAATTTTAGAGAGAAAGCCCCCAAAAATCTAGTTTTTAGTGAATTTTTTAGGATCGAAGGGTTTCTCAAAGTTAACAAAAATTGATCAAAACACCACCCATTGATATTAGATTTACTTTTTAATGTTTTGCAAAGTTATTAGGGGGTTTTTTAGAAGATTTGGAGTATTTAGAAGCATCTTTGAGGAGCAATCAAACTCAAAGTAAGTGATTTTTTTTTATTGCTCTAATAATTTCCATTATTTTTTAGATGTCTTCTTCGAGATCTAATAGGAGTGGTGATCCGGATTGGAAATATGGCTCTAACCCAGATCCTAATGAAAAAAATTGCATAAGATGCAAGTTTTGTGAAAAGGATACAAAAGGGGGCATAAACCCATTCAAGAAACATCTTGCTGGTATCATGGGGGATGTTGCCCCATGTAAAAAGACTCCTGATGCTGTTAAAGAGGAAATAAACAATTTTTTGAACACAGTGAAAATGAAAAAAGATGAGAGAATTGCCTCTATAACAGAGATTAGGTCTGGGATTCGTGTCAATTTTGATGATGATGATAGTGATGAGGAAAGGGAGGGATGTCAAGAGGTTGAGCAATCCATTATTAAGAGAAAGGGGAAGGGAGTTGTAATTGCTTCTGGTTCTGGGACTATGAAGTCTCGGGTTAAAGGCCCTATGGATAGTTTTTTACCTCGGCCTGACCCTGAGGTTGCAAGAGAGAAAACAAAAAAGCAAACCACCATTAAAAATAGAATCAAGAAGGAAGAGAGAGATAGAGCTGCATATTATCTTGCTATATGATTTTATGAGGCAGGTATTCCTTTCAATACCGCTCGCTTAAGCAGCTTTTATGCTGTGATAGAGGCAGTTGGCCAATTTGGCGGTGAGATGAAACCTCCAACCCCATATGAGCTTTCAGAGCCTTGTTTAAAAAAGGCAATAAGTGCCACAAAGGAAGCTATTGAACTTAAGAAAGATGCATAGGCTCAATATGGAGTTTCTATTATGACTGATGTTTGGAGTGATAGGAAGAGAAGAAGTGAGATGAATTTGCTTGTGAATTGTCCTACGGGGACTGTCTTTTTGAGGTTTATTGATGCCTCTGATCATATCCATGATGCCCATTACATATTTAAAGTGATAGAGAAGGGATCAAGGAGGTTGGGGAACATCTTGTTGTATAGGTTGTCACAGACAATATTGCTCCTAATGTTGTTGCATCTAATTTGTTGCGCATAGCTTATCCTAGAATCTTTTGGACACCATACATTGTATAAACCTCATGCTTGAGGCTCTTGGCCGTTTAACGAAGATATCAGCTGCAGTGAAGAAGGCCAAGTTAATTACAAATTTTATTTATAGCCACCATCTCACCCTCAGCATAATACGTATATTTACAAAGAAGAAAGAGATTGTGAAGCCTGAGGTCATGAGATTTGAGACCTGGTACTTATGCCTAAGCATAAATTCGAGGAGAGTGCAGTTGAGGCAAATGTTTATCTCAGCTGAGTGTAGAGCATACAAGTGGTCTAAGGATCAGGTTGGGATAAAGGTGAGAGATATTATACTTTCTAAAGCGTTTTGGAGAGGGGTAAAGGGTGCTCTTAAGGTATTTTTTCCTCTTGTCAAAGTCCTTCGCATGGTTGATAGTGACAAGCCTTCTATGGGCTACTTATATGATGCTATGAAGAAATGCAAAAGAGAGATAGCCCAAAATTTCAATGATGAAGAAACCCGTTACAAGCCTGTTTTTGAGATTATTGATGAGAAGTGGGATAGGCAGCTACATCGGCCATTGCATGCAGTTAGTTATTATTTGAACCCAGCTTTTTTTTATATTGACAAGGATATACAAACAAATGACACAATTATGAATGGATTTAATGAGTGTGTAGAGGTGCTAGTCTCTGATCCTGATATGCAGGATATTATATACGCTGATGAGCTGATAAGTTACAAGTGCTCATTAAAGTCTTTTGGAAGTCCAATGGCGATGAGGCAAAGGGCCAAAATTGATCCAAGTATTAATAATATTCTTAAATTCATCAAGTTCAAGTAATCAAGTAATTCTATTATTTATTTATGATTTTATTCTACATCTTTGCAGCCCATTGGTGGAGCCAACGTGGATTTAGTTCTCCAAATTTACAAAAGTTGGCCATCTCCTTCATCCGGTTGTGAGCGCAATTGGAGTACCTTTGAAGGGGTAAGGCGTAAGGGTAATTTGTATAATTTTATAAATAATACATGAACCATAGATATTAGATTTTAATTAGTTTCATACTTTCATTTGATTTTGTTAGATTCATACAAAGAAAAGGAACCGGCTTGAATCAAAGAGGCTCAATGACCTAGTCTATGTCAAGTACAATCAATTCTTGAAGGACAGGTTTGCTAAGAGAGATAAGAGAGACCTCATCAGATCAAAAAATATAAACCATGCTATGGAGTGGTTAGTTGATGATGATGAGGTCGAGGGGCATGAAGGATTGACATCGGACATGGTCATGGCTGCTTCAAGGACATCAGCTAACCCTCCTAGGGCCACTAGATCTTCTACACAGAAAACAAGGATAGAGGAAGAGGAGGAAGATGAGGCTGATTCAGAAGAGACGGATGAGGACGGGGACGACCAATATGTCGAGGAATGTGACGACTCCATCGACTCCGATGAATATGATGCCAATGCAACTGCCCAAGATTTTCTGATGATGAATGAATGATGAATGTTGATTGTTGAATAATTATTAAACTTTGAAGTTTGAACTTTGATTGAAGTATTGTGTAATGAACTGTTGAAGATTCTTTTGAGTCTTCAAGTATTACTTTCATAGTTTCATACTTTCATAATTCAATTTTGTTTTCTTCCTCATGGTGGTGTACTGCAGTACTGATGTGATACTATTTGATAACTTGGTTTGATAATTTGGTTGGTTGTAAATTTTAATTAATTGGATATGGAGTATGAACCGACTTATGGATTATGGTTATGTTTATGGAGTGTGTTGCTAAATGCTAATATGTAGTATAATTTGAATTATGGACTGCAATACATATAACTGATATTGACATAACTGCACTGCAAAATCCTTATTTGGATTCAACTAGGCCGCCCAGGTTTTGGGCGCTCGCCTAGGCGCTGAGCGGCTTGGACCCCTCAAGCTGCCTAGAACCTGCTTAGCGCGTTTTGAAACACTGCTTGAAGCATACATGAAATAGTTAGGCTTGAAGGAAGAAACTTCTTTTGAAAAAATTAAGCATGTCAATTTTGCTACCTCACAAAAGAATTATTTTATTTTTCATGAGCAATTTTTTTATCTATCATACAATAGATCATTTCATTGAAAGAGATACAAAAAACATCTTTTCCGACAATATAGAAGGATAGAACCAATCCAGACATGTGCTTATTCAAGGTGACTTGCGAAAAATGTACATCAATTTATAAAAAAAAGGCAGCCCAATGGATGTCTTTCCTTTTAATGGGCTTTCCCTTACTGTGCTGATAAAAAAAAGTATGCCAATCTTTCCCATAAAAACATTACTGATTTTGTTTTTATTTCTCATAAAGATGGCCCCAATTTCTATACAAATTTACCTGAGGAGACAAGGGAGCCCCATGAGGAGAAGGGTAACCATGCAGAGGACTGTCTAGAATTTGCACACAATCAGCATCTATAGGGAAAATCTGGCTGCCACTTTCACCAAAAGAATTGGCGATTGACTCTTCATTAGCATTCAATAGAACTGATTCCGATACCTTATAATCACTGCATTTATCAGAAAATTTTGATTTTGCAAAGGATGCACTCTTTTCCAACACAATAGGAGTTTCAAAACAATTTTGAACTTCATGTTCATCATCACTGCCAAGGTATCCATGCTTTGCTATCAAGCAAGGGCTGGAATGCTTTTCCTCAGAGCTTGAAACATGGGAATTTCCAGAATTGTGGACAACATGGTTAATGTCTGAGTGCTCTTTCACACAATGAACAGCAACGCTTGTCTTATTTTCCTTCAAAGTCATGGGTTGAGAACCTCCTTCAGACTCATTATCAGAGTCCAAACAGATTGCAGCACCAAATCCTATCAAAGAACAAGGACAATCATTTTTTGTTCAAGAAAATACTTAGAAAAGTATCAGTGTTCAAATGAGACTCTAGAACTCCTTAAAACACTTCAAAAAACTATAGTAATCAGGGTCCAGGTTCTATATAGGCAAATTAAAACAGGGGAGTAGTTCACAAAGATAAGTAGCATATGAGTATATAGGAAAAGAAACTACATGATTTCGCCATGTGTACATATGACACAGAAAAGACAGCACAATACCTTCAATTCGAAGAAATATGTGCTACGGCTCTTTCATTTTACCAGTGGAAAAATTGGAAATATTCGTCTGGGTTAAAGTAGAAACCAAACATGGTAGGAAAGCATACACAGTAAGCTTTCACCTATAAGATCCGCAATAAATGACCCTGATCAAATAATATTTACAATATCAAATAAGGTCCCACAAAGAGTCAAAGCGAACCTTTGTACAGCAAAGGCTCCTGGTAAGAAACGAGACTCACTAAGAAGATAGGTTCAAGTTTAAAATTTCCAAATTATTGATTCAAGAACATAGAATACCATGGAAAGAATCAAAGCCAACCTATGTAAGCGGTTTGAGCACTGTGCCTTTCGGAGGCATAACTTTTCGCTTGTATATTTGATTTACAATTATAAACACTCATTGTGAAGGTCTCACAGAGCTCTATGAAGCTAAAACATGCGGAGCAGGTTCTGCCCACTGGATTTTGCCAAAAAGACACACCTGAATATCACAATTGGCCTTCAAAGTATTGAGTGCAAGTCTAGGGGTAGTTTTGTCAGTTTTTGCATCAAAGGAAGAATTTTGGGTTTTCTTTTCTTTCGGTTTATGATCTAGATTTAAGTTGTAATAGATGTTAAAGATTACATTTATTTTCAGGTTTGGTACATAAATGATTAAATTAGTCTTGAGCTTTAGGCCTTTGTTATTCCTAGTTAAACCAATAGCAGCCATTACAGTTAGCATGTAAGCTTCCATTTCTCTTTAAATCACACATTTGTTTTCTTCTTGTGTTTTCGTTTTCTATATCATCTGGTATCAGAGAAGGTCAGTTCTAAGCGCCCTAAATGTTGCAGTTTTGCTCAATGGCTCTTAGAGGGAACCGAGGAGACCGTGGCCGTGGTGGTGGTTTCAGACCTATAGACTTCAATGCAATTTGAAGAACTACCGCACGAGATGGGCCAAAACCGATCTGATCGAGCTACAACGATCCATGACAATAATGGGTCTGAATCATCAAGGGGTAAACTTTCCATGATCAAGGAAAGAATAAAGGTCCACTCCATAACCAGGGGAAAGAAATTGATCTTCTTCTTGAGGAACGCATGGTTCATGCTCTAGATGGAGTAGATAAAGGCATATGGATATGCATGAATTTTATGTTCAGTCGCAACTAGAAGAATTCTTAGGTTGAATTGCACAGTGGAAAGAACTATCCAAACAAAAGAAGGTAAAATGTGCCGCTAATGGGCTAAAGGGCCACGCCCTAAGTTGGTGGAAGTAGTAGCAAGCAACTCATGTGCAAAAGGCAAAGGAAAAAATTGTAATGTAGAGGAAGATGAAATCATGTTTAAAAGACAAATTCATCCCAGTCTTGTTGGCATACGGTTTTTTTCCATGGTTTTTTTCTTCCGAAATAGCTATTTACCAAAGGACCAAATGGACCTAAATTTATAGTTATATCGCATGCACCCCTTTTGCCAAGCGTGAGAAAACTCATTCCAATTTTCACCTATTGGAACATGGAAGCTTTAAAAGACATGAGTTGATGAAGATAGTTATAGTGCACTTATCCCTCTCTCTCTCTCCTCACCCATACCTCCTCTCTTGGACTCTAAAATTCATAGGTGCCATGGTCACAAGTAAGCACCCCAAAGCCTTACAAGATCACCTTGAAAACAACCACTACCTAACCTAATGCCCTATAATATTTCCTTTCTATTCCTCTAACCAATATCCATGAAAGTGATCTTTTTTGGAATGAATCCAACCAAAGATTGGTTGTTTTTCAGCATCTACATTGTGGAGGTACATCCATTTTCCATGCTCATTGTTGGTGGTTGATAGATTGCTGAGGGACATTCATTTCTTTGGCCTTTGTTATTCATATGTTAATAATGCATGTTTTAAGGGAAAATATGAAAAGACAAAGCACAGTTTTGGGCATACTGGTGCAGTTTGGAGAGCGCATCATTTGAATATTGCATGCTGATTTTGACATTGTTAAATGCATAGCACTATGTGCATGCTAGTGATTGATATCGTTCTAAGTGATTCTTGTTAGATAAACCTCATTACATATTTTGGTTCAATGAATTTGCAATAGGGGTCGTCACAGGTAAAAGGCTTGAGTAGCCAGCGCAAGAGTGTGGGTTCGGATCCTGAGAGCAGCCACTTTATGCATAAGCCAAAGGATAGGACCACTTCCAGCCTACCCCTCCGGGGACGCTTAAGCAGGACCAGCACCAGGTTCCAATTTAACCATCTCAAATGAATATTAACGCTTGGTATTATAACCGAGGTTACTTAGAATGGATATTACAAAGACTAGTCTCTCCGATTTGGTAAAGATAGAGAAACTAGATGGGTTCAACTTTTCTATTTGAAAAAGTCATTTGTTTTTCTTGCTTAATGCTATGGAGTAGCTATATGCCTACATGTGATTTAATGAACAGAAACCAGCAGAACCTATTGATGACACAACTCTTAGGGATAGAAAAAGGTTTACCAAGTGAGAAAATGATGATTTCACATGTAGAGGAGCTATCTTAAATTGTCTTAATGATAAACTATACAAGGTATTTCAACGTCATCAGAATGCTAAAGATTTGTAGAATGCTATTGAAAAAAGGCACAGCGATGATAATTATGTGGCCAAGTGTGTGCTATATGAAAGATATAATATTTACAATATGAGAAAAAATCAATGGGTGCTTGAATTATTTGAAGACGTGTGTCATGGCCAACCAACTTGCTGATTTTGGTGACCCATTAGTGAGCATCAACAAATTAGTGACCATTATTCAAGTCCCCCAACTCATGGAAGTATTTAAAGAAAGACTTGCATCATAATGGGAATATCCGTAGTTTCGTACCCTAATTGTCGAGAACAGTTCCAGGATTGGGGGCGGGATCGATGGATTGAGGGTCAATGTTTCGTGAAATATTAAATCTAAGTAACTCGATCCCTGCGTACTAAACATCACAATCCCAAACTAGTTAGGATTGAGTAATAAAATTTATTGGACCGAGATCCTTTGGTTAAGAATTGAAGTTCTCTAGTTCCACTAATCAAGATCTCCTACCACCAAATCATACTCGAAAAAACTACTCAGCTTAGGCTGGAGCAAAAGATAAATTTTATAGGAGGGAGCACCATATAGGTTATAAACGAGACCCTCGAGTAAATTTAAGGTTATTTCAGCCGTTGAGTATCAGAGATGTATCTCTTTATGAGATCATATGGTAACTCACCCTACCAATCAAATCAAGGCTTTCGTAATGGGTGCTGTAGAGTGTGGATACCTGACACATTTTTGTTGTTGGGTACCAAGTGAGAGAGTATATTGATCCAGAAGCATATGCATGAACTTCATAAGATGGTTGATGATCTTGCAATACGTCACGATGAGTATTGTACATGAGAACGTGTGTGGTTGGTGCCATTGGGTGAATGGTCTGGATGGACTGCACACTTAGATGGATTATGAATCACTTGAGGGCATATAACTCAAGTGATCATGATTGAGCACACTGTTTCGATGGGAGGAACAAAGGGGAATTTTGGTGCAAGTTTTTTTCCAGTTTTTTATTTTCCAAATGACCTAAATAGCTTTAGTTTTATATCTATTTTGCATTAACCCCCTTTTGCCAAGTGTATGAAAACTCATTCCTTAACATTCACTCGTTGGCCCATCAACCGCAACCAGTTCCAAGTCACAATTCTCTTGTTTCTTTTTGAAGACTTATAGTTAATCTCTTAAACTATGCTGCTAGCTCTAATAAATTCTATAATTTCCGCACCGCATAACACATTAACCAGTCGTGTAATGCACTAGATGGCCTAGAGTGCATCGCTTCTAGCCACAAATGTGGAAAATGGTGAAGTATCATCCATAGATGTGGGTGCATTGCACCATGAACAATGAGCCCGCATATGTAGCCACTGTTCATGGGCAGAAAACATGCCCACAAGCAGAGCCAAAAGTATGAACACCCCCCAACCCACGGGGTCCATGGAATAAGGGGATAGAATTTGAGGGTGTATATACCCCCTAAGAAAATAACCAAACAAATAAATGAAATTTTGTATTGAATCCAAAGTTTTTCAAAGAAATTAGGAGATTCTTTGGGCACTCCTTTAAGATTGTTTTGTGCATTAGTTGGAAGGTACTTGGGCAACGTTTCACCAACTAATCAAGGGTATTCAAGCCTGAGTAGGTTTGTAATTTTCCATTTCCCGACAATGTTTTTGAAATAATGTCATCATCTTCTTAGAGTAATAGGGATCTAGCTTGGAAATATGCGAAGTTGAACTTAAAGATCCTAAGGATTGAAGCTGTGCTAGTTGTACTCCATGTGGGAATACTTAATAGAAAACTATTTTCGTGCAAAAGGTACTCTATGTGGGAATACTTATACAAGACTATTTTCAGGCGAAAGGAGCATCTAGCTGGCATTCCCGGAATGTTAGAGCATGCCTCCAAACAACCTATGAGATTAGAAAAGAGATTATGGCATAAGTAGATTTAAAAAAAAAAAACGAAGAAAATGAGATGAAAAAACTTTGACAGATGAAATTCAAGTATTTGATGGTGAAGAAAATGCATCAAAAGTTGGAAGTGGGCATAGATTTTCAAGGGAGAGGGTTATAAATATTGGTGGCAATGCTTGGCAAAAAAAGACCTCTCCTTTAGGGGCCAATGGATGTATTTTGCACCCCAAACTCTGATGTTGTGGTAGAGAACAGGAGGAAAGAATAAAACAACGCACACCTGAACAGAGATACAAAACAGAAGATAGGAATAGGGTCTGTAGATGGATTGTTAAGTGGTATTACCAAGCCAGCATTCCTTTCAATACCATGGCCCTGACAGCTTCAAGGTTCGAGGTAATTAGGCAATTTCGCCAAGGACTCAAGTCCCATTTAGTTAGTGAATGAGATGGAATAGATTGTTTTATTCTACATTTTCTTCGTGTTAAACATTTAGCCACTAGAGATCAAAGAGAACAAGATTTGTTACTCTTTATCAGGCTATCAGGGGACTCAGACAGGTAATAAATTAGAGATAATTAACAAAATCAAAATGCTTACTATCAGATAAATCACACATTTATGTTTTTCTATGCCTAATTATACTTTTGTAAGTTCTAAAAGTTATTAAAGTCTATTAATCGCATGGACATCGGGACCACATTGAGCCGCATTGGACCCGACGGCATCATGTTCACATCCACATTTAAAAAGCTGCCAAGAGATAATTCCAATCTTCTTGCAACAATCCGAAGAAAGCAACGCCAAAGATGACTTTCATCAATAATCATCATTAATCAGAAGGAAATAAATAATGCTCCCCAACCAAAAGAGAAATGTGTAGCCATCCTCAAAGTGAAATCAAAAAAATCCAAGAAACTGAAAAGAGCTCGCAGTTTAGAAGCAAGAATTCTTCCCAACTTACCAGAGCATTTTGAGAGTGGCGTGTGGCTCCTGAGTTTGGAGCACACAGAAGAGAAAGGAGCAGAGAGAATCGGAGGCTTCACAACTGAATCCTCGATCGTATCAGAGAGAGGGGTTTCCGGCACCACAGACGGTGTGGAGCATTGGAAGAGGGATCCAACATGTGGCCTTTGAGGTGTGGAATCAATGAGCACAATGACATCAGAAGGGAAGGTTGAGGAGGATCCGCCCTTTCTCAGAGTTACTGATGGAGAAGCATCTGCATTGTCATCATCATCTTCATCAGAAGGGATGTCCACAGCAGATACCGGATCCATATTCCAAATTCAGAGAGAGGGGAGTAAGAACCCTGTCACTCAAAGAAAGGGGGCCGCGCTCTTCGTCATTTGAATGGAGAGAGGATGGTTCGATCATTCGAGAGGGAAAACCGCTGCTCAAACTCCCCACTAGCTTATGACACCGGCCCGACCCGGCCAATCCTCGTATGAAAATCCCCACATATTCCTTACTTAAAAAATACCCTCAGATTTCCCATTTTTATGTTCACATATAATTTTTTTTCAAATTTTTATTTTTTACCAAATAGGCCTTCCTTGCGATTTTGAAAGTGAGAACTTTAACTTTATTACGAAAAAATAAATATAGAAACAAACTTCATGTCTTAGATCTTCAAAGTTTACCTTTAGAAACAGACTTCAAAACGGTCTAAAATTTACCAAGACAAACTTCGGAACTTGAAGATATGAAGTTTACAAATTTAACTATCCGAAGTTTCTTTGAATTTAATTTTTTTGACAATATAATTAAATAACTTTCAAAGTAGGGACAATTTGGTTTAAAAAAAAAGGGTACGAGGAATCCGAAATTTGAGGGCGATAGTTTAAATGACAGGAATTTGGGGGAAGTCCATACAAATTTCTCAAGTTAAGACTTGAGCTTTGTGCCTATGGGTCTATGACAGTAGAGTTATTTAAGTTGGACGTGTTCGTTTGGTGGAAACTTTCAGTTCTAGAAGCCGTAGGTTCCACCAAATAATACTACTATTACATTTTGGATTCCATGCCCCCAAAGAAGCCGAGACTCTAGCAAGAGGAGGCTCAACACGTAGAGAAAAAAAAAAAGATGAACCTAATGAATGCTACTTATCTCTCAACTTTCTTTCTCCTCTCTCACATCCAAAGCAATGTTCTTCTGCCACGCCTCTTCAATTTTGTGCAACATTTCGATGTTTCTTTTTATTTGGATATATGGGAAAGAAAGGAGAGGCTTTTGAAATGCTTTTTACTCTTAGTTTCATTTGTATGCGGTTGTAGCTATGATAGGAACCATGCGGATGACTGACATCACAAATCAATTGAAGCCCATGGACATAGATTTTAAAGGGTTTTCTGGTGCAGTTCATTATCGACTCTTTGCCTAGGAAGTATGATCACTTCAAACTTACTTATAATATTCAAAAAGAAAAGTGGAGTTTGAATGTGGTTCAAATTATATGTGTTCAAGAAGAATAAAAATTATATCAAAATAAGCTAGAAGTCGCTCATTTACCAGAGACTAGCTCCGACAAAAAAAGATACTTTACAGCATCAAAAAATAAAAGTTCTTGGACACATGCAAATTATCAATCAAAAGGTATTACCACTCAGATTCATAAATAAAATAACCGGAAGGAAAGAAAGTGAAGGGTCATTTGAAGAGAGATTGCCTCAAATATAAGAAGTGGTGGAAAATATAAAGTATTCATCAACAAATCAAAGACACATTGATAGGGAATAGAGGCTTGTAATGGCAAATGGAATTGAAGAAAAAATAAACGCAATACAAGTCGTTAGATGGTGGTTTTGTATTAGACCTAAAAGATAATCTTTATGCGCCAACCTTTGGGCATAATCTTATATTTGACATTTATAGTTTTAATTTTAATTTTGGCAATAGAAATTTATTCTTATTTCATAATAAGTATATCGTGATGGTCCCTATAAATTAAATTTGGATTATGTTTTTGTTGAATATATTTTATCCATGCATATGTGTAATATGAAACACAAAAATGTGAATGAGAATTATTCCATGTTGTGGCATAGAAGCCTAGGACACATCCCAAGAGAAAGACTTCAAAGATTAGTCAAGTAAGGAGCACAATTTGTAACTCAAAATTGCTTCTTTCTCTACGGGGGTACCCGGAAGATTGTTGTTAATATACTGAATTGTGTTGATAATAAAGATGTCCTAAAGACCTCATACGAAGTTATGGAGTTGTAGGAAGTTGTCCTAAGACGCTTGCATGTATGCAGATATCCTGTAGAAGCCAGATTTTATAACCTTTTTTTAAAAGAAATTAGATTTATGGTCTATAAGTTGTTATTTTTTGGGTCTTTTGTGTTTGTGGGGAATTTTGTGGACAAATTTATTTACCTCAAGTTCAGAGGGAGCAAAATCACTATTTTGATTTTATATTTAGATGACATTCTATTGACTCGCAATGACATTCATAGGTTGCATAAAACATTTTTTTTTATCTAAGATTTTGGTGAAGCTTCATATGTGATTAATATCGAAATTCATTGAAACAGATCTAGAGGTATTTTGGGATTATCACAAAAGGCATATATTTAGAAGGTGCTCAATAAGTATAATATGTAGAATTGTTCTCCAGTTGTAGCTCCTACTAATAAGTGTGATATAACTAACAAATTACAATGTCCCAAAAATAACTGTAAAAAAACAATATGAAAATTATTCATTATGCATCAGTGAAAGAAAGTTTAATCTATACTTAGGTTTCCACCTATCCAAATATAGCTTTTGTTGTCAGTATATTGGGTAGATATCAAAGTAACCTAGGGTTATAATATTGGAAAGCTTCAAGCAACATTCCTTTCGATGCTTGAACTCCCGTATCAGCTCAACTTCTCTTTTCATTCATCTACATATGGTGTTTTCTGAAAATCTAAGTTTGATCTTGGTAAAGAAGGATGCCCCAAGATCACCCCAAGGCACAGCCTCCAAAGAGGGCGGTAGATCATAAGATAGAGTTGAAGCAAAGAGCCAAGCCCCCAGCTCCCGGATCGCACCTCCCGAGATAGAGGAACTAAGGAAACAGTGGACCTGGCTAGGATTTTAACTCTCTAATGGGGGAACGAAGCGCAACTTGGATCTACTCTGCTATTGATGACCCACTGCTCCCTAAGTTCCTATTCCTAAAGAATGGCATTTGAGTTCATTTCTGGCCTAAGGGGCTAGCTACCGAATATGAGTACGGATTTAAAGTTCAACCTACCTAATAGATGTTTGCATTTGACCCCTACCTATACTTCTGCTAGCTATGCTCCAACCATGATAGTAATTGGGCCTAGGCCAATTTGAGTTCTACAACCCTATAGAACTATGCATAAAATACAACCGAGAAGGGTTTGCAACGTTAGCCCATGATAAGGTTGGAGAGATGCTTAAAGTAGTTGGTCAATGGACTTAGTGACCCTTGTGTGTGATTGATAAGCTCGAGGGATAAAGGTCAAATCTTCATCATCACCATTGTACGACATGTGCATATGATAGTTGTATTGGGAAGTGCACACCATTGAGGGTGTGACATGTAAATGTGCAAGAGATTGCCCTCATGCAATATGTGTGCTTCCATGTGACGTAGGCTTTTCCTTGGGGGGAACCTATAGTTCATAGACAAGAATTGTATTCTCATCACTTATTGGCTGGCTTGGTAGTTCAATCATGAACTGTAACAGACTGTGGGCTATGAGAACTATTGGGTCAATTTGAGAAAGTGAGTGTTAGGACATAATCATTAGTAATGATGAAGTGACTTAGTACATCACATTTTCCTTAACAAAGTAGGATCAAATTCCCTTCAAAATAAATTTTAAATAATTAATTTTCAGCTAAATATTTTTAAATTTTTAAAAGGCTGGATATTTTATATATTATATATTATATATATTATATATATTATTATTTATTATATTATATATAGTATATATTTATTATATTAATATATATTTATATTATAGTATATTATATATAATATTTATATTATTATATGTTTAATTTAATATATATAATATTTCTATTATTAAATTATTTTATTATATAGATATCTTATATATTATATTAGAAAAAAGTTTATATAGAGATGCAACCTTATAATGTAGAACTACGGATGCACCTCAAAAATCCATCAGAAAAGGTAGTTTTAATGTTGAAAAACCCTTTGGTTTATCATCTCAACATCGAAATGTATGACTATGAAAAATAAAAAGATTTTAAGTCTCAGAAATAGTGCATTTTACAACATATTATCTACACCGTCCATTTTCAATATTTTCATATGTTTATAGATCTACTTGATTTAACCATTTTTGAAATTTAAAATTTTATAATTAGATATAAAAATTGATTTTGAGATAATCCTAATAACATTTTACATCAAAATTATATACCATGATAAAATTTGAAGGTGCACCTTACCACTACAACTATGGATGCATATGAATGCCAGCTATACCAATTATATTATGTTATTATATATTTATATTATTAATATATATTTATTATCAAACACAATACCTGAAACTTGCTTAACATTCCAGCAGGTTATCAAACACAGTACCCAAAACTTATTTAAGCCTTCCAGAACAAAATGTTCCACTTCTAGAACAAAATATTCCACTTCCAGAAAAAATAGAAAAAAATTTTCTTTCTAAAAGAAATTTTTCAAAAAAATAAACACGCCCTAAGAGAAAGTGAATTTGGATGGCTTTTCATACGAGAGAGAAAGATGTTGAGCATGAAACATTGCTCCCATCAATATAAGAAGGTTTCCTATTTCTATACGTAGCATATCCCTATTATACTGGTATTTACGTGATTAGGTTGAGGTGATTTGGTTGAGGCTACTAGTATTTCCTATTTTATACATATCCGTTATATTTTACGTTATTATGGATGTACCAAAAAGTTTCTGTTATTATATGTATATCCGTTTTTTGCCTTTCATAACATAATTTTTTAAAAAAGATGACTTTACCCTTTTATGGGTGTTCAACATCCTAATTGAAGGGTTTTTCAGATGTTCAACATCCGAAAATAGCCTGAAAGGTTAACGTTCACATTCTGCAGGCACATTTTCAAATGCTAGCTTCAGATGTTGAACATCCGAAAAGGTGCTATTTTCATATGTTCAACATCCAAAAATATGCTTGCGAAATTCCAGAAGGTTTCTTTTGCAGGCACATTTTCGGATGTTCAACATCCGAAAATATGATTGTGAACGTTAAACTTTCGGCTGTTTTCGGATGTTGAACATCCGAAAAACCCTTCAATTCGGATGTTGAACACTCGAAAAAGGGTAAAGTCATCTTTTTCAAAAAATTACGTTATG